CTCATCCTAAGATTTGTCTCTCTGCCTGGGGAAGCAGAACATCTCCCTTGAACTTCAGCAGCACTCTGAGAGCTGGAAATTCAAGATCGGTAGCTTTTCAGATCATTACATCTCATGTTATTTGTTGTTTTGATTTATATAGTTATATACCGCCTTACAGTACTGGAGCACTCTCTGGATGATTAACAGCATAATGATGCATACAAGAACTTGCCCCCCACCGAGCTTGCTACTCATTTTACTAACTTTGGAAGATTTTTACATATTGATTTTTAATTTTGTACTGGGAGGTATGCAGAACATTCTGCAAATCTGAGGGTGCTGCTTGAATTTGTACCTCTCTACATGAGATTGATCCCCATCTGCACTAAAATTTTGTAGTATGTAGGGCTGTTTTCCAGATGCCAAGTACTCTATTTCAACCTGGGTTTTTCTGGTTCTCCCTCTTCCCTTCTCCTACCAGTCAGTCAGCATCTTCACTTTCCACGGGGGACTTTTCTCAGCTGTTTTCAGTCATTCTGCAAACTCTGGGCGTTCCCCAAGCCAGCTGACTATTTTCTCTTGTGTGCATGTAGGGCCATTATGATTACATGAATATCAAAATAAGAGGTAATTAAGTCCCTCATCCTGGAATCTTGGCCTGTGTGAGAATATACATGTAATATATTTCCAGATGCCATAGCAGAGAAATAAAAATAAATAAAAGCTTTAATCTTCTAAAGTCATCCGAGTATCTTCGACTAAGGGTACTTGAAATGTCAGCTTTCTCTCTGATGTGAAAGTATCTTAGTTATTTTTAGGGTACCCTTTGAATCAGAGAGCCTGGAAAATCTTGGATTTTCAGATATTTGTAGTAATTTAAGTACAATTATCTATATCTTAATGTTCACATTTCCAGATATTGGGAGATTATTTTTAAACTTTTGTTCTATTGGGAAAATATTTTAAAACTTTTGTTCTATACTTTGCATTCTCCTTAATTATTGTATTAACACCAGTACTATGAGCAATTTTAAAAGTAATTAGATATAATATGCATAACTTACAAATGAGTTCAGAGAAACATCTTATGCTGCAAAGTTTATACTCTTTCATAGCTCATCTTCATGTGACAGAGGCATTACCCTGTTTCCCTTAAATAAGCCCCTCGTATGATTTTGCAGGATACTCGTAATATGTCCTACCCACAAAATAAGCCCTAGTTAAGTGAAAACCCACCCTCATCATTTTGCAGCAACTAAAAGATGACATGACTGTATTTGAATAAACGTAGATTGTTGTATATGAAAAAAAATCCTCTGAAAATAAGCCCTAATGCGTTTTTGAAGCAAAAATTAATATAAGACCCTGTCTTATATTTTCACGGAAACAGGGTATATACATCATGAACATTAAAAAGAATATGTTTTGTGGATTTTACAGTTTTTTTATTCCTATGAGAAACCATACTTCAGTGCTGTTGAGATACTGTAACTACCATTATTTTACAAGTCGGATTATATTTAAATTGTAACATTTTGCTAGAGAAAATGAATCTGCTTTGCAAAACCAGTATGTTATGCTTTTACAGCTGCTTGTTATGCAGAGTTTTGTATAAACTATTGAAAGCATTCCAATATGTTAAAGCAATTTAAAAATCCAAATGATAGAAATATCATTATGAATGCTGGTAATTCTCTGTTACTTTTCTTGCTCAAGATGAATTTTATGGAGCTCTGTAAATGTTGACGTATCCAATCGTGTTTTTCTGTGCTATAAAAATAAAAAGGTTTCCGAAATATTAAATTACCCGGGTCAGTAGCCTTTCTGTAATATGTCATTTGGTATTTTTCCTAAGCCAGTATTAATTGCTTGTAAAAATGTTTGTTTAGCCAACAAATACTTAAGCCACATCTTTTTGTAGTTAATCCATTGTTGCCCCTAAACCTTGTCTTTATCCGAACAGTCTTTCACTAGGCTTCTTAATACAGTGATGGATCATGTTGTGACACTGTGTCCATTTATATCCATCATTTCTTCTTATGTGCCTTTTGAAGAGTCCACTGAGGTTGTTTCGAAAAACTAATCTAATTGTGTTGCCAAGATTGTTGTGTGTTAAGTTTTATGGAAGGTGATAGGAGGGAGATCCTGGGATTCCTTGACACATATGTGAGGTGCCTCTCAGGGGCTTCCTTATTTAGCGGGAGAATGTTTAGACTGTGACTTGTGATAGAGAAAATTAATTAGCGCAGCTAGTTGTAAACAAATTGGTTAAAGATAAAATTCATTTTTTTCATTCAAGTTATGTTTTTGGTGCGTTCCCCCCCCCCCGGTAAGAATATATATTTTGTTTTACCACAGTCCAAATATCAAAAGCAAGATAAAATATTTTTGATGTGCAGATCCTGTGTTAAAAAAATCAGTTTTGATCTAGTTCAAAAATGTAGCTCCTTTACTCTTATCAGCACAAGTAGGGATATAGAAGTTCTCTTCCTTTAATTTTTAGAAAACAAATTCTTGATGTTTTATCAATTTCCTAATGAGAAAGTTTCTAATGTATAAAATTTGTCTTGATATGCTTTGAAAGTGTGTCACTGTGCATATGAAAATATGTGTGGGATTTTGAATATTACACGTGCTATACCATTCAACATTTGGACTTCATTTAGTTTACGGTTAGCATATTCTCCCTTCAATGGTGTTGTATTTGTTCTATGTGTATTTAAAAACAAAGGAAAAAAATATGTACACAATTAATCACAATTTTATTTTAAAGAGAATATAGCTCTAAAGGTAATCCCATTCCTTAGTTGACTTGCAATATAAACGAAGTTCCATTATATCCTTAAAGCATAGCTCACAGAAAAATGAGGGCAGCACTGCTGGTAACGTAGGCAGAAACATTGATTTTGTAGTTCTCTCTTGTCAGCCTGCTGTTTTACTCATTATGGTAGGATTCTGACAGCCTCTATAAAATCAGAGTTGTAATACAAGTTAGATTGAAAGAAACTGAAGGTGTTGGCTCAGCATCTTAATTATCAGAGAAAAATCTTGACTACAGTATTTGTGTATTGGTTTTAAAATAATTCTTACTGATATGTGCCAGTCTGGAAACTTTTCCAAATTGTTTCATCCTACTGCTATATTATTGGAAACATCTGTGTATATGGTATTTTGTGGTATTTTGTGTTCTATTTTAAAGTTTCTATTGTTTCTAATTTATAATGTTTAATTTGTGTTTGTCCTTTTCATATCATTTAAATGTTACTTATATAGATTTATTGTTGTTGATTATTGTTCTTCTATCTGTTGTGAACTGCCCAAAGTGGTCTTGGTAGCCAGATGGGTGGTGTACAAATTAAAATAAAATAAAATAAAATAAAAACAAACAAACAAACAAATAAATAAAGTGTGTGTATGCTTGCTTTGTTAAGGGATATTGCCAAACTGTAGATTTTACTGTATCTATTTTCAACATCAGTGTCAGAACCCCAAAATGTATGCAATTGAATGTGCAATCTACATTTCAAACATGCTTCAAAATACAGATCTGGGGTTTTTTTGTGCTGAAAGATTAGAAGCCTTTTAAAAAGCCTGAGGTTATCTATGGATGAAAAATCATATTTTAAGACTTTGCTTGAAGTTTAAAACTGTCTAATCCATATACCACCCAAGAACTCAAGATACGCCTAAATGAGTTAGGTGGAAAGCCAAAGAAAGCCAAAGTCTGGGGTTAGCATTAATTATTATTAATTAATTCTGGATTTGCAGAATATAAACTCTCTTTTAAATTACAAGGGGACCAACTGTTGCATCTTTCACTTGTGTATTTATTTGTGCTAATTTAACCTTGTTTTGGACATGTTGAGTAGGGGAAAAATTGGAGTGGGTGGAGCTGATAAGAACAGTCCTATTTTCGTCCTTGCTGAAATGAATTGGGAGGTAGATCTATTGATTTGTGTTACTTTTGTAGCTCTGCTTTCTATATCTCTGATTGTTCAAACAGAACTTAGAAGTAACTTATCACAATAAATTATAATAAACTCCTTTTTTGCAACATCTAAGGTATAAAATTATGAACTTCCCTTAATATTTACTGTTGGCATGGATAATTTTGGTCCATGATTTTCATTCCCAGATTTTCATTCCCAGCACCCACCATGAGCCAGAAATGGCTTTACAAGAGTAAAATGAAACAAAACAAAACTAAAAGTGGCCAGACAACTACTTATGGTTTTTATTGGGAGTTCAGGACTCGAGGGGAAAAAAAAAACCCTTCCCAACAACTCTAAAGTTGAAACTGAGCTGATGAAGTCTGTGAGAAACATAACATGATATGATATTAAAAAACGTTTTTGTTACCCCTCCTTCTGTTTTTACCTGGAAAGGTCTGAGATCACCTTTGGAACACAAAAATGCCCTTGTGGACTATGCTTTCTGCACTCCTGGTTTAATATTGTTCTGTAACAAAGGATAATTCCGTCTTCTTGCAGTGTAATTACTTTGGCTATTTTTACAGTTACAGTGTGCGTGTGGCCTCATGCCTTAGGTGTGCTTTGTATAATAGGCCAGCAGTTTGTAGTTTTTTGTAGAATTATAAAATTGTAGAACTGTAGTGATCTCAAGGCTCGTGAAGTTCATCTCCCTGCCAGAAATCCACACTTAAAGAAATGGTCCATTTACCATTCTGGCTGCCCTCCTCTGGATCTGTTCCAGCTTGTTGATGTAATTCCTAAACCATGGTTATTTTTTTTTAAAAAAAGTAACTTAAAAGTATCAGTTGGTTTTTTTCAACTGGTGAGAAAATGAAGTTACTATGAACATCATTGTAATAACAATGACTGTTGTAGGCCTTTGGACAGAACTGTAACTGTTGCCAATTGCTTTTTACAAGTAACTTGCTAGGTTTTTAGTTTAAACTGAAAACCAGTTCCTCAACACCAGATTGCTACTTGTAGAGGTTAACTAAGCAGAGCAAAATAAGCTAATTCCTCTTAATTTTGTCTTCTTTTCACAGTTAATCTGCTGGATTCAAAAGCAATTCAGGGAGAATTAGGATGGATCTCCTACCCATCACATGGGGTAAGTTCATAAGACTGTAAAATCGGAGAAATAGTGCTACCAATCAATATGCTATGAAATATCCTTATCCTTGGCACACCAAGCTAGATACAAGGCTTACTAGATTGGTGGCTGATGGTACTGTTTTGCAGTGTACATCTTCAGGCATTTATTTTTAGGTACACAAGTCTGCATATGCTCTAGGGTTTCTAGGTCAACAGCATCCCATACCAGTGACCTGAGGCCAGGCAGCAGGTCCTTGTGGTGTCATGGGACACAGGCAAAGACTAGGAGAGAAACTAGCACAAAACCCATACAAACGCCTTAGCCGAGCTAATGGACCTTGTTGCTGAATAGAGATAGGGTGGAGATGGTTGTCCAGGCATTGATTCCACGTCATGTACAAAAAACTTACTTCTCCTGCAGCACATCTTGGCCTGAGATTTGTCTCCCAGCATGGAGCCCCCAGAGAAGTGCAGGAATTACATAATAGGCTCAGTATTTCACATGATTCTGAAACACAGCAAATGCTTCTTTTCAACAGCTTTAAAGATTTTGGTAACCTTGTTAAGCACCATAAAGGAACTTCTGATCTACATACTGCATTTTTCACAAGAATATTGAGTATTCTCATATGGGATTCCGAAATCATGGTTGAACCTCTGATGCTTGACTTTAGCGTTATTCCTTAGGCATAACAGAAAGAAGATATCGGTTTTCGTGTGAATGGGCATTTGCCCTTTAGCTGCAAGGAGTGTTTTAAACCAATGACTTAAATTAAGCCTGTATCTGAATAAAGCACTAGAATGAACCTTTATTTTCTTCTGAAATTGTACAGAACCATAAACATAATCTGAAGATCAGTAGTGTAGTGATAAATATGAAAAAATATATGCCTCATCATTATAGTCCCTGTAATAAGCTCTCCTATCACCAAGGAGAGTCTAAACAGAGACTGCTAGATCAATCTCTAGTAACAAATGAGGAGCAAGTCTTTTGTAAATTTAATGAGTCTTAGTTGCCTATTCAAGTGCAAATCACTCTGAAATCCTTTGCATTACTATAGGAATAGCTTGCAAGAATATACTGATCCTGGAAAAACCTGTTTCTTTTTCAAATAGTGTGACAGTTGCAGCCAACATCAAAGAGAAGGAAAACTTGAGTGGAATAGTGGTGATATCAGAGTCTCTGGTACTGAAAAAGTCCCAAGAATTTGAGCCTGTCAGTCCTGGCTCCTCTACAGCAGTGGTCCCCAACCTTGGGCCTCCAGATGTTCTTGGACTACAACTCCCAGAAGCCTTCACCACCACCTCTGCTGGCCAGGATTTCTTTGAGTTGAAGTCCAAAAACATCTGGAGGCCCAAGGTTGGGGACCACTGCTCTATAGCACTGCTGAAGATCTTTATTGATCCTGAATTAGAAAACAAAACAAAGAAAAGAAACAGAATAAAGGTTTGTCCAGGCAACAAAAAATATGATGCAGTGTATCTTCCTCCGCTGAACCCCGACCAGAACCAGTACATAAAATGAAATGAATTTATGAAATGAAATATATATATATTTGTTTTTATATGATTAAATACTCTGCCTGTTTCAGTGACTAAAACTAGATAGCATAACCCAAAGCCTGAATGAGGTCTGTTTCTGTCACAAAATATAGTAATGGCTATTGGCTTAAGAGGACATACCAATTCAGGAAGAGTGGGTCTATCAAAAGAAGAACCTCCATGTTGGGAAACAGAATACAGTGTAGGGAATCTAGGGGTAGTTGTTACAGTTGTTTGTAAGCCTCCAAGAGACATTTGGCTAGCCTCTTGATTGTCAGGCAAAACGAGGAAGTGCTTATGAAAATCCCACTGCAGAGTATGCTGTGTTAGAGAAGGGTGGTTTTCAAACTTTTGCTCTGCTGCAATTAAGCTTTGTAATATTCCTATCCGGCAAATGAATGTCTTTTCCCCACAACTGAATTGACTGAGAGTTGACTGAATTGTTCATCAGTACATAGTGACTTTGTCCCGTGGGACTCGACTACTTGAGAATGCCTTGGGTGAGATCACTTACTTAAAAGAAAAATAACATTTCCCACCCTTCATCTGGATATTTAATATGTCACACCATACATTATGTGCACAGGAAGATGATAGTATATAGTTACTTTCAAGCAAGTAGTCCCGTAGAGACATTTTTCAGTGAGATAGTACCCTGTGAAGACTGTCTGTCATTTTCATCTGTAATTGAAAACAGTACAGGGAAAAAAATGTTATGTTATGTTGCTTTAAAACGAGTGATCCCCACATGCATTCTCAAGTAGTTCATATATGGGGGGGTGGGGGTGGAGGGAGAGATTAACCAAATAATATTATTGGTAATAATAATATTATCATCAATTAAGCATGCACATTAGCTTTTTTTTGTCTACACCTTTCCCCTTAAGCACCATACCCTTGGGAATGTGGCCTTTAGTCACATCGAAGATGCCTATCCCTGGACCATAATTTTAAAAATGTAGGTAACTGCTACCTTGTTGCATAGACTTTTAGAAGGAAAAGCATTAGATGGGTAGTTTGAATCGCTCTCAGCAGTCATCCTGTCTGTGTGCTCAGCTTAACAAAGAGTAAAGAAGCCAGAGATTGGACAAACTTCAGTGGAAAAGCATGGTGGGTTTCTCAGTCTTGTTGGTGCTTGGGAAACATCAATGGTCTCCCTGTGTTAAGAAATGCTGTTTCAATCGTAAAAGAGATATTGGTGAAATTTCATCCCTATTTTTCTATAGAATTCGAGTTCAGAATAAATCTCTTCACAATACTGATTCTATATTCGCGAAGGCTTTCACGGCCAGGATCTAATGTTTGTTCTGGGTTTTTCGGGTTCTTTGGCCGTGTTCTGAAGGTTGTTCTTCCTGACGTTTCGCCAGTTTCTGTGGCCGGCATCTTCAGAGGACAGCAACTTGTGCTCTGGTGTAGTTGACTTGGGAGTGCAGTATTTATGGCTGTGAGATAGGCTTTTGTCTTTTTCTATAGATGGGTGATTAGTGTGTATAGTTTTGGGTGTATTGTTGTGCTAAGAGGAAGAGATCATCTGTTCGTATGGTTGATGGGTGTCATTAGCTGGTCTTTTGCGTGTAGTGATCCCCTGTCCTTGTGGGTGGGTAGAGTTCGTTGACCTTTTGCATGTAGTATGTTTGATAGCTGGGAGCCAAGTTTTGTTGAGCTTCATACTTTCCTCTTTTTTGTTGAAACTGTGCTTGTGCTTGGGGATTTCAATGGCTTTCCTGTGGCCAGGTATATATTGGAACCACAAAACGGAGCATCCACACCAGAATCAAAGAACATGAGAGACACTGCAGACTAAAACAACCAGAAAAATCTGCAGTAGCTGAACATGCCCTGAAACAGACTGGACATGAAATTCTATTTCAAAATACTGCAATACTGGACACCAGCAGCAATCATTACATCAGACTTAGCACAACAATACACCCACAACAATACACACTAATCACCCATCTACAGAAAAAGACAAAAGCCTATCTCACAGCCATAAATACTGCACTCTCAAGCCAACTACACCAGAGCACAGTTTGCTGTCCTCTGAAGATGCCGGCTACAGAGACTGGCGAAACGTCAGAAAGAACAACCTTCAGAACATGGCCAAAGAGCCCGAAAAACCCAGAACCACCAATACTGATTCTGTCAAAGGAGCCAACTGTATGTAATGGACAAGCTTTGTTTATACCAAGTTTTGTGGTACTGAGAAAAGGAAAGAATTTATTCTCTCACTGTTACTGACTTAGATAACAAAGCTTCCCTAGATTTTAATGGAGAAAAATTGGCCTGGGTAGTGTGGCATGTTTAAAGTTCTAGCATAATTAGCTCCTACTCTCTTTTACTTAAAAAATGCCTTGCAGAGAAAAGCAGTGTTCAAGAAATGAAATGGGTGTGTGTGTGTATATATGTGGATAACACAATATTTTCCTAGTGTTTTACGTCTCCTGTATTAATTAAAAAGCTGTGGAATCTACATCTGTCGGGAACCTACCTAAAATATGAACTTAAACTTCAGAAGGAAAGCATTATAATAAAGATGTCACATCATATTGAAACATTGCTAATAGTGCTAAGGTGATTTACAAGCCAAAGTTAATAGAGCTACACTTGAAGCTGTGACTCACAAATGAGGATATTGGTATGTTGCCAGCCAAGTTCCAAGACACAGCAATATATCCACATCACAAGCCTAAAGTGCCAATATGCTGAAGCAAGTTACTTTTATAAGTGTTAAAAAGACTACCCACCCTTTCCTCTTTCTTCTGGCAGGCAACTAACAAAGATCCTTCAGATTCATTATTTTAGTGAGCTACATAGAAAGGGTAAATATGAGGAAGGAAGTCACGTGTTTTGTTTGGCTGCTTCAAGATTCTCTAAATATTTTTCATTAAGATGATTTGATCTGATTTGAAACTAGGAAACAGCCCTGAATATTCATGTTTTCATTTACCCTCATCTGTATTCACAAATGTTTGTTCCACTTGATCACTCTCTGTTACTCTCATTCTAACTCTGGATTCAATATTGTCACCCTCAAATAATCTCATCGTGTCATTCATCCACCCACCCAACCCACGCAATTTGTAATGTTAGCTTTTGTAACACAATGATCATCTGGTCAAGCTCATTTGAGCCATTGGGGAGCCTGGGCCCCACCAGAAAGCAGAGCAACAGAATTATTAAAAAGTGCAAGAGCTATATTTACTTACACTTGATTGCAAAGTCCATAGAGATAATATCCTGCACCAACACCTGCATCTGTGCAATTTTCATGCTGTCAATCAATCAAATTTGTGAAAGGGCCTGGGAAATGAGAGCCACTTAGTTTTCTCCCGGAGCATATTATTGATATGCTGATTAAGCATAACGCAACTGATTATTAACAGCAATTCACATAAATTATAGCAGTACAGATGTGGGTATGGGATGGGGTGGGGGATAAAAGAAGCAAGTCACTTCAGTCAATAATATAGA